TATTTGCATCCAGGAAACCAAGGTACATCCTACACTGACATTGTCCTCCAAGGCCATTGCCACCACATAGGAACTCTGAGAGTAGGCAAGAAAAACAGCTAAGTTGCAGTCCACCTCCAGGAAAAGCCCTCTTTAAATGCATGAAGGCAGCCTGACTAGTCTAGGGCAGCCAGGTGGGTTTTGTGAATGTTCAGCAACCTCCACCGGCATTAGGTGGAGCACCCATAGCTCCCTGCCCAGCACAGCACCCAAGCACAGACACAGGGGCTTTACAGCTTAACATAAGCACTTCTGAGAGCACAACCACTTCAGCAGCATGCAGAAGAAAAGAGCTGCCACTGAAGTTCCCCCTTCAGATGGCAAGGAACACACGGGGCCCCGCACCAGAGACTCAACACAGCCCCAGGGATCTCAGACCGGGAATAAGACACATGCTTAGCACAGCACAAGCAAGCCAATAGTTCATCCTCACCCTCAAGCCCACAAACCCAGAAAACCTCTACAACCACAAAATCGTTGCGTTGCTAAAGCTGCGCAAAAGACCAAAATCTCAGTCTTGTGGTGAGCTCGGGCACGTCTGCTGAGAGCACGGCTCCCACCAGCGAGCGGCAAAGCTTTCCGCTGCTTCCCAGCCTCAGTGCAGCTCAGGAAACCCTCCACAGAGCCCCCACCTACCCCAGAGCAAGCTCCAGCTCTAGCAAGGCAGCAACCCCTCCAGGTGCAGCAGCTTTATAGGAGCTGTTGGCCCCAGAGAAGGTTCAAGAGGGACCAATTTCCTGGCAGGGAAGTAAACATTGCTCTCTCTAAGGTGTTTGATGTTGTTAACCAGCTTGGGATGGAAGAAGTTTGACTCCAGCTCCCTGTGAGAAGGTGGAAGGAAACCATGTGAGTGTCTTGAGGTTTGTTGTCTAACTCAATTAACCAATTACTTCCAGGTCAAGAAGGGGCAAAGCTATAAATGCAGCTTGCTGCTATAAATAATGTTTGCTCAAGGGTGGTGCAGGAGCAGGAAGCGTTAGGTGTGGGGTTGTAACTTGAGCTTGAAATGAAAGCAAATCTCACAAATTGCTTCCTGCTTCAAGCAAACCTGTCGCTATTTTGCTGTTGCCCCTCGGAGGCTGAAGTGAACCAGCGCACAGAGCTGGCTCTTGCCTTGGGAAATGCGTGCAGGAATTCAGCCTGGAGAATGAATACGCAAATGTCTCTCCCATGCTGCAAAACTCCCCTCCAAACACTGCTGACTGTCCTGGTGTAGGACCTGCTGTGGAAAGCTGGACCAGTGGGGTGTGTCTGCCTTTAACATACAGTTATTAGACCAAAATGCCCATGTATGTAAAAAGAGGGGGGGGAAGCCTAGGAGAAATTGATGTGAATTTCTCAAAGCTCAAACAAGAACAGGCAAGTCAGTTGGTGCAGATCAAGGCAGGAATTTTCCACAGGGCCTTAGGGAATTGGGCTCCAGTGAAAAGGTAAATGGAGTGAAGAGCAAGTGGTGGGACGGCAGCATGCCCCTTTGGAGGGGCCCGGGCTGGCTGTGGCGCAGGCACAGGGACCACAGCATGGCCATGGGGTGCTCCAGCTGCCCGGATGGACGGACAGACATCTGCAGAGCTTTGCCTGTGGGGTGCCTCTGTGTCCGCTCTGCAAGGCACCACGTGAGGTTTTTCTAGGGCACAAACCAGAGAGATGTCACCGCACCCAGGAGCTCAGCTCGGACCTCAGCTCCTAAAAGAGCGGAACCCATGTCATGGAAGGGATTAATTGGTCCTAAGGGACAGGTTCTTCCCAAGAAGCAAATTAGCCCACCGAAAAACGAATGAGTCCATGGAACTATGTGAAACAGAGCGATGTCAGCCAGGCATCTCACCCCAAACTGTGGTACCCGTGGCCAGCCGGGGGCTGCTGCTGGGCTGGCGCTGAAAGGGCTCATGGAAACCCATCGGCAGAGGGACCGGGAGGTGCTGGAGCTCAGGTGGCCGCAGGTCTCACGGGTGCTGCATTCCCCTCCCACCCCAGCAGATCCTGCTCGGACCTTGGGCACCTACCCTGCGGGTGCTGGAGGCGGCGGGTAGGAAGCCCACCTCGCCGTCGAGTCCCACCGAGCAGCACAGCTTTTGCCTCCTGCTAATCTGGACTTCGCCGTTTGCTCATGGGGAACATCCCTGGTGCGAAGCAGTGACAGCTGAGCCCTGGGCCCCAGCTCACCCCGAGCTGCCCTACATGTCCCTTCCAAGCAGTGGGACACAGCCCTTTCTGTCCCTGCCATCCCTCCGGCTGCGGGCGCTGCTTATCCCAGCCGACGAAAAGCCGTGCCAGCTCGTCACCCCGTCGAACCGCCTCTCCCCTCCGCTCGCTCGGGAACAGCTGCCGGAGTGAATCATTTCAGCATCCTCAAAGCGCGGAGGACTCTGCCAAGCTTCATGCGACTTCTGGCTGTCACTCCGCTCCATCTGTGTTTCTCCCTGGCCATTTTAAATCCCGCAGCCTTTCCTGCAGTCCCCGACGACCTCCTCGCACAAGCAGGTGGGTGCTCTCGCCACAGAGGTGCGGAGCTGACATCAGAGGCTCTTGGGCTGCCTTGGGCGTTTTTGCTGTTGCCGTCCTGCCCACGTATGCAGAATCACAAGTCGTTCTGCTGTCCTGTTCCCTCTGCCAGCCTGCGAGTCAGGGACCTTTTGCGGAGAGGGAACGACAGGATCTGGTGAAGTTGACAGAACGTGCTGGTCACCAGCAGCCCTTTGGGGGAGAGCAGGTCCCCTGTTTCTCGCTCCTGCTAGAACATCTCCTCTCTGTTACTGCCACGTAGCCCACGTGGCAAGTGCCAAGGCAGGCTTTTTCCTAGAGCTCTCTTTGATACCGCTCCAGGCACCCAACACAGCACCAGCGGAGACAGTAAAACCCCTTTGCTGTTCATCGGGACAGGGGGGATGTTTCTTTCATGATTTGGAGGAGAAAGAAAAAAAAAAAATCTATTTTAAGGATTTTAATCATAGCAGGAGCTTGGCCAATCCTAGCTGTCCAGTGCTTGGGGGAAGTTTTATGCTGCTGCAACCTTCTGCTGTGGTGATACTGAGTCATCAGCCACAAAGCTGACCTGTTGTTTGAGTCGCAGATGTCAAAATTTGACCACAGGCAGGAGAGGTCTGAGCGCCACTGCTTTTTCCAGGCACTTGGGTGTCTGGATGATGGGCAAGGAAGAGTCATGGACCAGCCTTCACTGGGACTTTTCCCTTCACCACGAGCCATGTGTGGGCTCAAGCAACATCGTGCTTCTGCCCTGCAACCAGCTAAAGCGTGGTCCCACCGCGGGGGGAGATCTTGCGAGGCAGGGTGCCCTCAGCCACGCCCAACAGGAGCCTGGGGGAGCCCGGTGAATCTACAGCACTGAATAAACACCCAGATGGACACTGTAGGTTGCTTTGCCACCTGGGATGATTTTAGGAGAAGCTGGAGGGGACTCGAGGACTGGGGGTAATTGGGTTTAATGCAAAAATATTCAACAACCCTTGCTTTTTCTGCATGAGCTGCCCACTTCTCATGAGCCAGAGATAACTACCCTGCCTTATCTGCTCATACCAGCTCAGCTGAACCAAAATTTCCCCCCAACCCAAACATGACAAAGAGCTCATTTGGACAGCTTTGCCTTCAAGTTAAAAAATAGACGACTTGAAAAAAGAGTAAGTCACGTGTTTTGTCGTTCTCCCTGCCATCTCCTCCCTCCACTTCCAGTTGAATACACAAACAAAAATAGTGCACGCTGTTTTAACTTTCAATCACATTTTTTGAAAATGAATTCCAAGATACAGTACAGCATCTTAGTGTTCTACACAAAGCAAGCTTTTGGCAAAAGGTCAGAGCATCTTAGATGGTGTAAAAATATATCTTAAATAAAATAGTTTCTATAGGAGAGCAAGCTGTGCTGTACATCTCTAGGTTCTTAGAATAATTTACAGAAGGCAGAGGCCTGGTTGTAGAATCCACACACTAGAAAAGAGTTAGTGTACATTCATGCTACAAAGTTAGAAAAGGTAGACGTTCCAGACGATTGGGGCAGATCTCCAAACCCAAGCAGCGGATGCAATGAGTGCACAAACAAGCGCCCTGCATTTCAAAGTGAGGAGGTTCAACACTTCCAGCCCATAAAGTCAGGAAGCAGATTATAACGACTTGCCTTTCGAGAGTCATTCTATTTGTTGTAGCTCGTTCCTTTCAATTGGCCAAAAAGAGCAACTTCTATCAATAAAGGACTAGCTATTTTATTTCTTTCTTCCAGTTTGGAGCTGGTAAGTCAGAGCTGCATTTTCAGTGTTACAGACTAAGATCAAGGCTGTTCCTGCAGTTCAAACAACAGAAAAGAATCATACTATGGTCTGAAAAGACAACTGCGGGACTCCCCCAGCCATTTTTAATAAAGGATTAACCTTTAAACGCTCGGGTTGCTGAGCACAACACAGCAACCAGCACAGTCGCTTTGCCAGCCAGGGTAAAACTCTTCCTACCCCAAAACATCAAGCCTGGTATATATTCTAAGTGAAAACCAACAACAACAACAAACCCCAAACAAACCAGATTTGTCCTCAAATTTCCTTTATGGGATCTGCGTACCTTTGGGGCAAAGAACACAAAAGTTTTGCCAGCTGAGATTTTGGCCAGAGCCCACGTTTCAGAGCAGAACAGGCAGCGCTAAGTGATCACAGTAACTGGATACAACAGCTGCATCTAGCGGCGAGGGCGCGGTGGCAGGGCAGCGCGCTCAGCTCCACGGCAGCCCCGCGGGGGGGGGCCGGCAGCTACTGCCGAGGCTGGGTACAGGCATGTAGGAAGAGAGTTTTTAAAATGCTGCATTAGTCATTCTCCTCACCTCGTTTCGAGGACTGCAGCACTGGAGCTTATGCCAGCACACCCCTAGTGCAGCTCGTGGAGGGAACGCGTACGCACCCCGCTCCAGGAGGAGCGGAAGACCGTGGCAGCTGTTAATACGTAACGCGTACCAGTCTTAGCAAAGACGGCTCTATTTAATTAGTAGAAACGCCTGTAAAATAACCATGTTAAACAGTTCCCAGAATATAAAACTTCCATGCTTTCTGCCCCAAAGGCAGCAAGCACTGGCCTTTCAAAGGCCATCTTTAAAATGAAGAAACAGATAGTAGCAAAGTCCCTTAAAGCGTTTAATAGCCTAGATTACAAGCCTTTAGGACTCGTTCAGTTTCTTACACTGCTAAGATGGTTTATTTTCCACACCTCACTCCTTTTTATTTCCAAACTACAGTTCTACTCCGGCACTAGCAGTTCTGCAGTGTCAGGACTGCACATACTAAAAGGAGATGTATATCATCTAAATTTACACTGTTTATTAAATAAAATCATTTCTTAATTGAGAATACTTTTAATCCAGGAGAAGAACTGGAGAAGTTACACACTGGGCCTAGCCTACTCTACAGCATCCCCTTAGGGAATGCGATGTTTAACACATACACACCCACCCACCCCAAAACAGTACACTCTCCAAGAAGAAAGTCAAATGCATGACAGGAGGGGCTTTGAAAAGGTAGGAAGGCAAAATGGTCATTAAGATCTGCCTAAAAATAGCTAAATAGTGCAGTGAAATGTTTTTAAATACCACAGACACCTCCACTGACTGGCAGCCAGTTTTATGAGCAGCTCTGAAGACAATTTCTAGCCGAGCTTTAGTGAACTGGGCGTTCCCAGCCAGAGTCCCGAGAGGTGAGCCTGGCCTAGCAACAGCATGGCCAGTTTCAGCATGAGAGCAGAGCACTCTGGTTTTCATTTGCCCCTCTTGCCACGGCCTCTCCTGGAAGAAGGTTTGCCTGTGCCCCCCGTGGAGGAGCTGGCAGAAGAGGCCACTGCAATGTTGATCTGTCCTTCCTGAATCTCCTGTCGGGTCTCAGCTGGGAGGTGATTGATTTTCTGTTGCGTCTCTAAGTAGAACATGACATCCCGCAACTGCTCCTGGATCTCGGAGATCTGCAGGTCCTTCTGTTCGCAGGTTTCCTTTAACACTCTCTCCTCCTCCTTTAGTTTGTTCTGAAGCAAGGCTTGATTCGCTCGCAAACACTTATTCAGTTCTTGCTCCTCCTTCAGCTCGTTGGAAAGCTTAGCCACTTTGTTATTCAGCTGAGAACACCTTACAAATAGAAGCACAAGTCAGGAAAGCAGTGCACTATACCAAGATCAAACACCACTGCATCCTTTTTATTTCCAATCCCTTAGGACAACTAACCCCCAGCCATCCCCAGCCCCAACAAGACCTCCTGGAACTTGGTTTTCTGGCAAAAGATGGGCAAGGGGAGGCAACACAAGAGGATTCTGAAATGCCCTCAGGAACTTCTACCCAGCTTAAGGCTTTGCTAGCACCTGCTTGTCTGTATGGTGTTACCTGCATATGGAATAGGATGTTGTGAAGCAGAATCCCTTCCTTTGTCCCTCCAACTGCATAACCCAGGAGAATCCTTTCCCTGGCAAGTTAGGCAATTCCATCTTGTACCAAAGGCCAACAGAGGCAACAGACAGGGGGTGTGTGGGAGCATGAGATTGTAACCTCGAACATGCACCTGCAACTTATGGAACAGGCACCGAGAAGGGCACAGAGATTGCATGGGGTCCTCAGAGAGCTAAGGACAATCAGGGACTCCCAGATGCTGGCTCCTGCCACACTCCAAGTACCACCCGCCACACCACTCGGAAGCAAGATGCTCCCACAAGGATATCAGTAGCCTCATGTTTCACAGACAGTGCTTCCCTGCTTCTAACAGCTCAGTGCTTCTGCCCTGAAAGTTTGCTGGCATCATACACAGAGTCCTTTCCACTCATCAAGGTGAGCTGCACGAACCACAGCTCACTAGCCTGGGGTTCCTGCTCCAACCAGGACTGCTGGAGAGGCAGCAGTGCCAGGGGCCTGGTGGGCTAGGAGGAACAGAGCACACAGTCCCACCTAGGGAGCTGGAACACACTGATCTGCACAGTCCCCATGCTTGACATCTTTCATCTAGGCACTTCCTAAGATCTACATTTTTCTCTGTGCTGGGTGAGATGCCTCTGTTGAGCTGCCTTTCTTCTCTTTGGATGTATCCGCCAATTGTGAAACACGCTGGCGTCTCCTTCTGAGCAGGCAGAGGAAGGATTACTGAATGCTAAATATGCAGACCATGTAAAAAGAGCCAAGAGCCCAAAAGCTGTGTTCCACTCAACAGGCACTTTCAATTTGTGAACACCTACAGAAATCAGAGCTTTTTTTAAAATAAACTGTGTTCTCAGTATACCAGTTTAAATAGCTCAAAAATCGCCCAGGAATAACAAGATTTTTTTTCTTTTTGGATGTCAGTGCGCAGAGTTTTAATGGCTGCATGGAACTAAACCTGGCAGCGGTACCCACTTCCTTTCGACAGACTGCTTTTCTTTGAGCAAGTCATTCAGCCTCTGTTCCAGACTGTCACACTTCTCAATGGTCTCTTTAAATTTGGTCTTCATGTTGTTAATCTGTAAAAACAAACACACGGGCATTTCAAAGAGATCAAAGTCCTGTGCACTGTCATTATGACATTCATTTTTCTGGAGTGGTTTCTAGACTTTGACCAATTACTATATCCAGGTAAGCAAAAGCTCTGAGTCAAGAAAAGGCTTAATTTTGATGAAGACCCTCTGCATTTACAGTTCACAGTACCCCAATGAGGAACCACGTTGCCGTGGAAGCTGCTCACACAGAACAGCAACTTGGGCTGCAGATCTGCGCCAGGCACCCCATTCAAACAAAAGCTGCATCAGATTCTTAACTTCCTATTGACTGCAGTTAAGTATTCATTTAGCCATTCTCTCAGATTTTTTTTTTTTTTTTGTATCTGTCAGCAAACTTAAATTTCCATCTTAAGGCTTTACAATGTCAGGCTTTTGCTCATTTTAAATTAAACCTCAAGTAAGTATGGTCAAAGTCTGAAAATTAACATGCTACTTGGCTCAGCACTGACTCAGCAGCTTGCTGTCATAAGGCAGTGACCTACTGACACGGATATCTTACTCATGCAAAATGCAAACAGAAACACACGTACACTGGCTTCCTCTTCCCCTCTACTTCACAACTTGAGACTGCTACTGCTGAAGAAAACCAAGCTCTCATTCTCTAGGCACTACACAGAACACGTCAAAACCTCTAACATAAGACTTACAGGAGATTTATAGACAGAAATACTTGTTTCCTCTATATTAGTGTCAAAAGCATGCTTGAATGTAGTGGAGACAGGAATTTAAAGGAAAAATGCTTTCCTGGAGGAGCAATCTGGATAAATGTCAGTGTCAGCACACGTGGTGCCTTCACTGATGCCAGAGTCAATGCAGAGCAGGTTTTAAGCCTTCCGGCCTTAATCACGGAATGTTTATGCAGCTGATGGTTAATTTGGGGAAGTAGCCTGAGCACTGATAATGGAATACACTCCATAGTGGCACTGATCCAGACAAGGCTTACATGGAGCGAGGGTCATAAATAAAATTGTAAGGATCTTTAAACATGAAACCACATTTGGGGCATATATCATAGTTGTTTCACTTTTGAAGTTGCTTTGTGGATCGTGTTTCCCGGTGACATGCAAGACGATTTTTGCTCTATCTTTTCCTTCTACAGGGCCCTCCATAAGATTTCTGGGACTGTTCTTTAGACCAATGTCAATGACCACTATTTCAACAGTCATAATTTCTACATTTACGATGCTACTTAACTGCAGATACTAAATGGTTTATTAGAAGTCATGCAGAAAGTTCAGTTAAGGACTGAACCCTAAATCCTGATTCACTTTAAACCTAGTCGAAAGGATCTATGTAGAGTGAAAAGCATTAAAATATTCTCACTGGATTTTTGCTCATGACATTTAGAAGCAGTCCTGCCTACAGAATGCCTTATAGGACGAGACTCCGAACTTTTCCCAAAGGGTGATGAGGAGAGATAGGGTATCAAAAAGAAAGGGCAAATCAATATGCATTTGGAGCAGAAAGAGCTACTACTTTCTGCAGCCGAGCAAATTAAAGTCATATTGTCTATGCTACACTAGCCTTCCCTAGAGGTACCCGTCAGCGTGAGACGGATGGCATCGGCAACCAGGGATCCTGCAGCAGCACAGACTTGTTTTCACCACTGCTGCAGTTTCCTGAGCAGCACATTTCAATCAACCTTCAATCTAGGTGGCAATCTACCTACTTCTGCACCACTGAGCAGCAAATTGCTAGATCTGAGCATCGTGATAAGGGATACGTCTTGGAGCCAATTTTCTCAGCTGGTAGTGAAACAGGCTATGCGAGGCCACGTCACGCAATATTCGGGCTGTACGAGAGACCGAACAGCTCCATCTCCCATTTAACTGAACAGTGTCCAGGGGCTTGTTTCAGCAGTTTCACACATGCCCAGAGCAGAGCTCACCTCTTCGGCCGTATCCTTTTCTATTCGGACAATCTTGTTTTCCCAATAGATTCGCTGCGATTCCAGCTGGCTTGTTAGCAAATATGAGTACTATAAACACAGAAGATATACACAGAACAGTCAGCTTTTACATAAGGGTGGCTATGCTGGTTAAGCAGCCCAAAGGGCTCCAATATACAAATCAATTTAATCAGATGAAATTGAGCATACAGGACATTTGGAACTTATATGCAAACTGCAGAGCCAGCAGGTGTGTTTCACCAATTTGATTTCAAAATCAAATCACTTGATTTCCTGAAGTCAAGGAAAGCCTCTACAGCACAACAGCAAGGATCAAGTAAAAGTTCCGCCAAGCCATACCCAGTATCGTGCCAAGAACTTTTTAAAGAGGAGACAGATTTTTTCATGGTAGTAGCAATAAATCTCTACAAGTTTTACACTACACAGGAAAATGAAGCATCACCCATCTCTGTCACGAGTTTCTGAGATCTCAAAGGCTGAGCTGCTGAGTTCCCCATTCACGGCCCAAAACCCAAGGCAGGAGGGTAAGTACACATATCTAGCTTCACTGTAAGAACGCCTCTGGGAAAGCATCCTCAGCTATGTATAACTATTCACAATTATTGTTCGCCAACAAGTACGGCCCATTCCAATATTATTTTGGCATCTGAACAAGGATATATGCCTTACATCCCATCTTCTCCTTCCTGGTTCTGCAAATGAGTTATGAGAAGGTTGGAAAACGTGATCATTTCTTATCATCAGGCTAATAAGCACCAAATCAGGCATTCACTACAGAATTAAACATGTGCAAAAAGCCTTGAACACTCTCAGTAATATCAGAGCGCCAAAATACACTGCCAAATTCATTCTCTCTAGAAACATTTAGATCCGATAAGATAGATAGAGAGGTCTTACATACTTTAAGCACCAACCTCCCAGAAAAAAGGGTTAAAAATAGCTGGGTTTGCACCTAAGCCTTACTCAGAAAATTCATGGAAAAGCAACCAAATATTTATTTGAACAATAAGCTTATGAAGTCTGGTCTCTACAGGCTGTTCCTCCTCATACACCCTTGTGTCTAATGCGGCTGAAATCATGCTGCGGTGTATCTGCTCAGCGGAGCAGTAATTTTGAGTTTCTCTCCTTTACCCTTCTAGTTAGGACAGGAGAAGCTGGCCAACAGGTATAAAATAATCATTCTCTCTTCAAGAGAAGGAAGCAGAACAGGGCTGGTATCAAACAAGCTTTCTTTGATAGCCAAGGCAAGCACACAGCTATGGATTCCCTCATACTTACTCAGTTTACAAGCTAAACTACTCGAATTGACAGTTCCATACATATCCTGGCTCTTAAGCCAAGTCACAGATCCACTCGGAAGGGTCTGGTGAGTGAGTCTGGGCATTTGGACCCATTTCGTTCTCCCATGACCTGAGTGTTTGTAGCAGCATAACCAGCTAATCTTCAGTCTACCCGTGAACACAGGATGAAACTGCAGCCAGCTTACACTTAGCTGCATTGGCTCTGCAGAGCCAAGAAGATTTTTTTTTTTTAAAAAAAAAAAAAAAAAAAAAGAGGGAGGAGGGAAACGGAAGAAAAAACCCTTTTTTTTTTTTAAAAAAAAAAAAAAAAAAAAAAAGAGGAGAGAGAGAAAGCAGTAAAAACATCCTGCTTCTGCCTGAAGATGATTGCCTACATGCAGGGAGCAGGTCTGCTGCATAAGATGATGTAATTTTCCTGTACTCATATCTGGATTTGAAACACTTCCACACAGCAGCACAATGCAGAGTCCAACAAGCCAAAATATTTACCTCTAATTGTAAGGCATCAATTTTCTCTTCCTGACACATATCTCCCTCGCACTCGTACTGAACTATCTTCCCATCAGTTTTACTTGCAACCAGTCGATGGACGTAGTTATCTGAAGAGAGAAAATTCAACCACAGGGAGTTTTAGCTTAAGAACACTCAGGCTGACACCAGTGGAAATACTTTATGCAGCACAATTAACCATGCAGACTGCTGCAACAGCGTATTAGCAAGGCAGAAAGCCAACAACAGATGTATTTGTTATTTAGCAGACTTCGCACAGACACCTTACAGGATATTTATTACAACAGCCCATTCCCATACCTCGGGGCAAATTGATGGAAAGGGAGTAACAAACACATTCCACAGAGACTACAGGACTGCCCCTGTTCATTACAGAATCATGTTCTCCCTCCTCCATCTGCTACAGATCCACAAAAACTGCTATTAGAGGAGATGGATGTTCCCAAAAGACAAAGTATTAGTACAGATGCAAATCCCTTAATCTCCAAGCAAACTCTATCACAGGTACTCTTACTAAGGGGTCCCAAAAGCCATTTCACAAACAAGGTCATCCTACAAGAGGGGAAGACAGAACGCTTACCTCCAGCATAGTCCCAGACTCTGTGGTTGGTCAACTGCATTGCGTAGGTGTGCTGGGTCTCCTCGAAGTGTTTGTAAGCATGTCGGCTCACGTACCGGCCACAGCCTATGTGCCCACATATTAAGCAGATCCAAAGGTTCTGTCAACAGAATGAGAAAGCTCTGTACATACAACATTGTCAAGCAGCGGTATCAGCACTTTGAGAAAGCGTGATCCGACACCGATGGCCTGCCGATACTGTCTACATCCAGTCACTTCCTTAGAAAGCGAACAGCGTTTGCTTTTCCCCCTCCTTCTTTGAAGCCTTGCTCAGCTGGAAGGTGAAAGAGAAGGAGGTACCTGCTCATTCAAGCCAATTACAAACCTGCAGGTGCTGGGTACGTTGATAGATTATCACAAGCATGGATGGAAGAATGGCCTTGACTAACGAACAAGGCACCTCAGCAGGACCACAAAAGCAAGCTCTGAAGAGCACAGACTAGAAGGGACCACCAAGTTCAGCATTAGTTTAGCTGTCTCCTATCATACTCATCACGCACACTCTGATCAGCTTATGTGCTAATACTTCTAAGAATCAGAAACATTTGTCAGAACAGGAAACCTGGGAGGTAAGATCCCTTCCCAGTACTGATTCCAACTCAAAAGGAAAGCAGCTACACCACTGACTGGTAAAATCAGCCAGAAAGCAGCCACAGAATTAACCCCAAAAGCAACTAGAGCAGCTGTGCAGTCAGATCTAGTCTAGATCTCACTCACCATCCACCCACCTACTTACTTCTTGAACTCCACACTCAAAACACTTGTTCTCTTCCACCGGCTCAGGCGTTTGGCAGTATCTGCAGACAGGACACCTAGAGGGCAATAAACATCATGATTAGACACGAGGAGCTCCATCTTAATATTACAGTAATTAAAAAGAGAGCCAGAGAGCTCAAAGTAAATGCCTTATGCAGTGGGACGCTCCTTAATGTGCATGCATCTTTCAGCTCACATTTACCCCACTCAAATTTGCCTCCATTCCACACAAAGCTACTGTTTTTAAAGCCCGTAAGTGACAGAAGAACAAAGAACAGTTCTTCCGAAGCCATTTCACAGTCTCAGCTTGATCTCGTTTTGCTGCAGTCCAGGTGTAGAGAACATCTGCAACCAAAAGCCTCAGTGGGGCTGCCAGCAACCTCAGCCTCTGCCAGTAAGCAAAAAAGCCACGACCGAGCTCAGGAAACACTTCCCTGCCTCAGCCATAAACATTGCAAGAAGCACTTGTATAGATGTGTTACACATCTCTAAACATTGCTTCTCCGGACTGCTGCCAACTGACATCTTCGGTTCTTCATTACCTGCAGGGTGTTATGCAGCAGCTACACACTGTTGTGGAAGGATGCTGTAACTACACGTTGCTGAGGACAGCCAAGTAACAGAAGGAGGTACCTACACTTTGCAAACATACCTTAGTACTTAAAACAACCCTAAGGAGAAGAGGAGATGCTTCAGTTTCACCCCAACCCAATGGATTCAGTCTCAGCCCTTCCAGGAAGGCTATCCCATAACTGTACCCTAAAAGAATCAGTAGCACGCACCCCACTATCATTTCTTTTGAAACTATACCACTGTGCTGCCAGAAAGACAGAAGACCCAAGACCAGAAGGAACCTTCGTCCAGATCCTAAGCACCAGAAGCTCAGCCAGGGAGTGGGGTAACTGAGGCCATGCATCCTGTTGCCAGGACTGTTTATGTATTTTTCATTAGCTGCTGGATAAGCTACAGAAATATTCAAGGGAGGAGACAATTGGATTGCAGTCAGCTTTCTATACAAATTCAGGCACTTACAGCCTCTGTGGCACCTAAGCAAAGTGGACAGGGATTTTCTTTTATCGTTCTTCTAGACTGGGAGCATAAGTTCTGCTTAAACTGTACATTAGATATTTAAGTGCTTTTTGGATCTTGCTCCTACACTGGCTAAGCTCCACTGCTTCAAATTTAAACTGATTTTGATTTGTGAAGCAAAGCAGCCCATAAACTTGAATAGCTACAAATCTGATTAATCTTACCGAGGTTCTGTTACTTTGGCTTACAAATGATATACAGAGGGCTAAAATTTTCCTCACATTCCATCAGAGAATCAGGCAATCAGGGGTACCAGTGACAGAGAAGAAAACACAGTGAAGATCAGCAGCCTTCTGCTGCAGTATATATGACTGCCTGATGTGCAGTAAAACAGCAAACAGTATCCAGAAGAATGCAAAATATGCACAACTGATAGCAGCACCTGGGTGCCAGTCGGGGGCTCTGCAGCCAGGAGCTCAGACACACCGAAATCCCCATCTACAGGGATGTGAAGGATGGTAAGAGCAAGAACAGGAAAGGGTTAGCAGCAGTGAAAGAAGAGCTGCTTTAAGGACAGACGCAGGTCCGCGCCCCAGCCCTGCCCAGTGCCGGGAGGGTCTCCCTGAGCCCCTGACACAGCCTCTCATCGCTTGGCCCATACCCACCTTGAATGCTACAGCCTGTCTAGAGCCTTCCCTTCCCTATTTACTGAGTGATCTTGTCATCATTCCTTCCTTCCCCACCTCCCTTCTGTCTCACTTTCCAGTCCTGTACACCTGCTCTTGCCCAGCTCTTCTTCATCCTCTCCCAGCATCTAAGTGAGATGGGCAAGACTGCTGCACTGCAGGGCTCCCAAAAGGACTCCTGAGCCCCAGCCAGATGTGCAGATCTGTCTACAGCGCAGCCTCAGCTATGCCGAGGAAACAAATGACTGAACAGACACACAAGACTGAGTGAAACAGGGCTGTGTGTGCATCCAGTGCTGTTTACCCCAGTATTTTTATCCGACAACATTTTAAAATAATCAGCATTACTCTACAACTCCCTTCCTGCCTTAGCAGTGAGGCCCATGGGAAACATCGTTCAATTACTTTTGGCAGGGAGATTTCTCTCTGGGAGTCCCTTAATGGGAAAAAAAGAGCATTAGAACTTGCAGTAATTCCTGCCCCCACACTGATGAGCAGAACCAGTCTCGTCAGCACATAACCACCACGCTCAAACAGAGTTTTAGATGTGGAAATAAAGAAGAGCCTCTTACGTGGTGTCCTCCCACCGCTGCAGACACTGGCTATGAAAGCTGTGGTTACACAGCGTGGTAAGGATCCCGTTCACAGACTCATCCATCCTCTCCAGGCACACCGTGCACTTCGGGAGCTCTGTCAGATCCATCACAGGCAGGCTGGCCCCCTTCAAACGAACAAGCAGAGACAAATTGCTCAGCACCTTCCAATCACCATATATTAAGCACCCACATAGGAAAAAGTCAAATTTCTCTCTCATTACTGCTGGCGCTAGGGTACAAAAACACTACAAAGTATTCCTGTGAGCCTACACAGCAGTCAGAAATTTACTGAAAAAGAAAGTGATCCACAACATTCAATAGACCACAGCCAGAATCCTCTTCACAGCATGGGCTCAGTGCAGCTGCTGCATCTGCCACCAGCCCTGTTCTGCTTTCTGGATTCACTAGATTCACTGCCCACAGCAGGTTTAGCTCAGACGTGCTGCAGTGGTGAGGCATGAAGCCCATGAAGTCACCAAACAAACTCTCCCAAGTAGAAACAGCACTGGAGTGCGAAACGGGGTTTAGGCTGCTACAGTTAAGCACTTCTTGCAGCATTCTGCCCAGTCCAAATAATCCTGTTAAAATTCTCTGAAGTGCAGGGAAAACAAAACAAACCAAACTTACATCTTCTGATTTGAAGACTTCAGCCCTTTCCACGTACACCAGCTGGCAAACATCCTCTTCTATAGAGTTGAACTGCCGGCCATTGCATGCCATATAAAAGCTATCTGCATCAGCCTATGCACGGAACAAAAGCAGCCAGTTAAAAAGAGAAAAATTGCAGCTGACACAACCGAGGAAGAGGAGGAGAAATCTGCTGTATTCTCTCTTCTCTCCTCCACCAAGCCCTGTAATACCAGAGGAGATACTTCAGACAGTCAGCTCCTGCCAGCAGGCATTGCATCTTGGCACTGGGCTTAGCGTTACCACTTGAAGACAAGAAGTGAAGTTCACAGCAGTGACAGCTACTCTGATATTTGAGCATTCAGCAGG